GAGGGGTGATGTCGAGGCCGGCGAACATGGCCCAGGTGAAGACGGCCGAGACGAGGACCTCCACCGCGCCGTACGACGAGTTGAGCGTCGACGCGTTGCCGAGCGTCGTCGCCGTGAAGATCCGGTTGAGCAGCGTCCCGTGCTGCGAGAGCAGCTCGCCGCCAGAGACGTTGTGGATGAGGTTGGCGAGGGAGAGGGTGAATGCGACGAAGAAGGCGAACTGCATCAGCTTGCACCACCGCATGTAGCAGTACACCCCGTCGCCAAACACGCGGAAGCAAGCGAGGTCGCACGACAGCGGCAGCAGCCGCCCCTCCTGGTCGCGCGGCAGGAGCGAGCGGGCGTACTCCTTGGCGCGCTGCAGGTCGGGCTGCGCCACGGCCCGATTGAGCAGCTCGCGCACCGCGCGCCGGACCACATAGCCGCGCCAGCGCGCCTGGACCCGCACGATGAGCCAGCCGTCCCGCTCCAGCTGAGCGCGGCGCGCGAGGTTGCGGCGGACGACGTCCTGCAGCGGCTCCTGCGACGGCTGCCGAGCGTCCATCGAGACGCACCGCGACGTCGGCAGCGGGTGCACGGAGAGCAGCGGCTGGGAGTGACGCGGCATTGGGCCGCTGTGGAGGTCCGTCAGGGCCAGCCGGCTTCCTTCCGCGGCGGGGTTTTTTTCTCTCGATCTCGAGGTTCTCGAGGTGGATATCCTTTGGCCGCGATGGGTAGCGAGGATTGGTGTAACCCGAGCCACGGAGGCGTGTTTTCTGACGGCCGACCGTCAGTGCACGGAGTTGCCCCTTCTCCGACTGCCCCGGCTAGTTCCCGAGGTCGCGCGGGAGTGACCCCTGCGTCCCCCGAGACCTAGCGCGGGGCGCCGCGGCACCAGACCGCGCCGCCAGCGAGGCGAGAGCACCAGCCGACCGGCCGTGACATGGCAGTTAGACGGCGGGACAAACAGCAATCTGTGAGAGCTTGATTGAGCACTTGAGCACTGGATAGTGTGTGTGTGTGTGTGGAGGCAACCGATGCGAGTCGACTGGTGTGTGTCGTCGTGGTTTCGTATCAAGAATACTCACTCACAGCACTGGATAGGGTCGATTCCGCATGGTACGGGACCCCTCGATCGTCTCGCCCTCCCTCACTGGTATGTTC